ATTGAATTTTGCAATTACATTTTGATTTTAACATTGACTTTTGCTGCGTATGGCACCCCATATGGATGGGGTTTATCGAACTAAGCAATTTGTTCCTTACATGACTTTTTGTAACTCAAAAATCGTCAGAGGAACTCAAGGGAAAAAATAGAATAAAATTGTATTTATTTTATTATTTTCTATTTTTATTGATTTTTTAAAATTTTTTTAATTTTATCTTTTTATTTATTAATTTATTTTGTTTCTTATTTAGCAAATGGTTTTGCCAAAAGCATCCATCCAGGTGCAGGAGAAAAAAAAAAAAATTGGTAAATGTACCCTTAACATTTTTTTAATTTACAGTATATTTATTTCTGATGACACAATCGTCATAATGAATGATGTGTCTGAGAAAATATTTACTATAGATAAGCCTAAAGTTTGGTTTTAAATAATGATACTTGTATTTTTGTAATTTGTAATAGTGATACTTGTATTTTGGTAATTTGTAATAATGATACTTGTATTTTTTGTACTGAAGCAGTTAGTTGAATATTATAGTCGTTTGGGTAGCTTCCGTATTTTACTGCTTTATCATTGCAAGCAAAGTGTTTGACCGAGTGAATCATTGAACACATTTTTGGCAAACATATTAGCAGGCCAAGTTCCTCAGTGTAATTAAGACTCTTGTCTAATGGTACAATAATCAGCAATTTGCAATAATTTGTAACAATTTTTTTTGTTACACTAATGGGGTGAGACGGGGTGGAGTTTTCCCCCAATTCTATATGTATATATTGTATATGACTTGAATTGTAACCCAGGGATGGTAATTGTGGTTGCGCTGTATCTGAAGTGGTGGTGGTAAATAAACCTCAGCTATTCTCATCGGATATCGGACTCCCGCTGCCACCCATTGATTCGGACCCCACATCGGACATGTCAGACTCCTGTTGGAAAATTTGTGGAGCACCCACTTGGTGCAATACTGCCAAACGATGACTAACAACGTTCAACTTTAAAAAGGTGGATCTGGAGGGGAAGCACTGATGGGGCACAATGTACTAATCCCTCTCCCCTGTGCCTAAAAAATTTCAGGGGAGGGCTGAAATTGGGGCTGATCAAGACAATGCCACCCTAGCGGGTTGGGGGAATTCCCCAGCTAAAATTTTGTTTTCTAGACCCCGAAAATATCCTGATGCGTTTTAAGCGATCGATATATATTTTTTAACTTTACATAAAAGGGGGGGGGGGGGGTTTGGGAACAACGTTTCAAGCTGTTCCGAGAGGTTTGTGCATGTATTAAGCTCAAGGAAGTTTTACAGAGAACGTACGCGTTCAGTGGCGGATTCTTTTGGGGGGGGGTGCCAAGCCAACCTGGGCCCGCCTGCCCCCACCCCCACCATCAATTTTTTTTAAATTACAAAAAAAAAAATTGAGAAAAAAAAGAAAATATTAATCAAATTTAGGTCTGGGAGTACCATTCCCGGCCATCTAGAGGTGCTATAATCATAAATTTTCTTACCTCAGCCCCAAATCAGAATGGGGCCGAAGTAGTCTAGACCCTTCTTATGCGAAAATCCCTTTCTGGGCCCCTCCTCAATATCAAATTCCTGGATCCGCCACTGCTGTTACTTGTCTGACGAATCGTGGCCGAGGACCCTTGTTGGGGAAGTTTCCATTGACTTGTTTAGGATTTTAAATATTGTGAATTAATGATTTTGATCAGGCGAGACACTTTTTATACTTTGTTTCGTGAACTTATAATTGTTTAAGATCGTCAGAGGGCAGAAAAAAAAAAATAAATAAAATTTTGTTTTCATATTTAGCAAATGGTTTTACCCGAAACGTTTACAGAGGAGAAAATAAAAATAAAATTTTAATCTTGAATGCCAACAGTGTAGTAATGGGATGGTTAAATGCTTTAAATTTATATAATTAGGAAGAAATATACATATCTTATTTTCGGAGATTACAAGGCAGCGGCAGGTGTAATATAAATAAAGAAAAGTTTGGTTTTTTTCTTAAATTTCCATTTTTTGTGGCAGCCAGTGTGCTAATTGGCCAAAAAAAAAAAATCATCATTATTGGTAGGACGGCAGGTTTACTAAATAAGATATAAAAAAAAAGTTACGCCTTAATAACAAAAAAGAAAAATATGTCCACTACCTAAATTCTATATTAAATTTCAAAAACTAGTGAAACAAGTGTGATACCCTGAAAATTAACCCACAAATTGAAACGGTAAATGCAGCATACTCTTTCTTTTACTTCTCAATACCAACACCATATGTACCTACACTTCTATACAAAAAAACATTACTTTCTAACTATTTGATGAACGTAGAACTCCCATGATTAAATTTATATATTCATAATTTTCAAATCAAGTTACATATTATATTTCTTCTTCCACAAGAACACATATGAATGCATGCAATTTAAACAATAAAATCATTTGGCTGCTGCAGTTTAAAAACCTCAAGGTTAAAAAATGTATTCCAGTAGTTCATGGTACTGTATACAGAAATCACTATAAAATTGTCACTTTCAATTAATATATGTATGATTTACATATAAAACTCAATCATTTCAATACACATTTTAGCTGAGATTAATCCCAGCTTAAGTCATCCAATTTCTTAAAATTTCAAGCCCATATCTATTGTTTTCCACTTCCATTTCAAGTCTATATCTATTGTTTTCCACTTCCATTGATCTTCAACTGTTTGTAGGCATCTGTGGCTTGTCAAGCTGCAATTTTTGGATGTGCAGACAGATAGAGCTGGACACTTGTCTAATATGGAGTGCGACAGAGTCAAGAGGATATCCAGAATACTGTAGAAGTTGTAATCCGTAGAAGAAATCTACAAAAAGTAAGATAAAGGCATATGAACAAGCTACATTACATGGACAGCATATACAATTTGACAGGCAAGGGGGGTTGTTCCGAAAGAAAAAAAGAAAATTGTTGCTGTTCCATATTTTACAACCCTCCGCTGTTAAGACATAGTTATTATTATCATAGTATCAATTTTACAGATAGTGGCTAACCTTCAAGTCTAAATGCATACATCTATTGTTTTCCATTTCCATTGATCTTCAACTGTTTGTAGGCATCTGTGGCCTGTCGGGCTGCAATTTTCGGACGTGCGGACATGCGTTGATGATAGCCCTTTAGAACTGCATACTTGTCCAATATGGGGGGTGACAGAACCAAAAGGATATCCAGAAGATTGTAGAAGTTGTAATCCATAAATGAAATCTGCAAAAGGTAAGATCAAGACATATGAACAAGCTTACCTATGGCATTACATGGAAGGCATGGTATACAGTTTGAAAATCGATGTGTTCTGAAAAAAATTAGCAAATTGTTGCTGTTCTACTAATATTACACCCCTCCCCTTTTAAGACAAATTATTATAGTAGTAATTTTACAGATATTGTAGTGGCTTACCATAACCTAACTGTAAGAAACTACAATAATAATGATGAAACATATTAAGTAAAATGTTATAAATAAAAAACTGGTGAGGAAAATGAATGGGTGAAATTTCATTTTCTGCAACCAACATATTATAAAAACACAAATGTACCTTTTCCCCAGCAGCAAATCCACCAGCACCACCTCCATTGTTAGCTTTAAAAAGATTCTGGGGAAAAAATTAATTAAAATTCAAACATAAAATATATACATTTGTTATATACTTTAAAAATATTGACTGTTAACAGTTTAAGGCAAGATTGTTTAGCAAACCATATTTTTGGAAACATTATAAAGAAGGTTGAGGGTGGGGTGGGGTGGAGAATGGATAGCAACATCTGAACAATTTGATAAACATTCTTTCATAATAAAATCTTTTATACCTCTAGAATTTCAAGCTGAACTGGACACTTGTCATTCACAAACTCATCTTTGCCAGCCTGTGTAAAAAATAAAAAAAAGTAATTAAACTTTTACAAATATCGTTTAAGTTCAAGCTACTAAAATATTACATTGGTGGATCTTGGAAACTGTCAACAGGAGGTAGGACAATTCTGACCAATCAGGTTCAAGAGAAAACCCCCGGTGAGGGTCCAGGGTGAAGGGTCAATAGTGAGAGATTTCATGATTTCGGATGGAAAAAAATTGTGCAATACAGTATTAGGGATTGCAATTACAAAAACTTTATGTTAGATGGGAAAATTAATATTTTTAGTCTTATAAACTTAAGTGTCATCTGATGATGGGGAATGCAGGCTTGTTCAACAAAAGGAGGGGGTGGAAATTTTACCCCTTATTCCACTACTGGACTACTACCTGACCTCATGTATCTGCCAAAACAAGGCGATCTTGTTAACATGTTCAACAACAGAGGTAGAACGTTAAATGAGTAAAGGTAAGACTATTATAATAAAATTTATAAAATTTATAATGAAAATCCTTAAAAAAATGTATGATAAAATATATAATAAAATTGATGAAGAAATATAAGGACATAATTGATATAGAACGAAAGAAAAATGATGAAATTAAAATAATTGGTAAAAGCATCTATAGTATAAAACTAACATCTGTAGAATTTTCAATGGTTTTGAATAAATTGTTCCCACCCTTTTACCTAACCCAGGTTAAGATCAATCCTAAGCAATAATGCTATTGTTTATGTCCCTTTTGGAGGAGAAATAATTATATTTCTTAAAACAGCTTTGCACAATGAGGAGACAAGTACAAAACCAATTAAAATCTTTCAAACTTACATAGTTTCTATAAATCATGTTAGTATATGCAACTCTCAGATCCTCAACCCCATCGTTGAACATATCGATTTTGAAAGCTTCTAAGTCGTTGCTGCCGTACAAGCCTAAATATTTACAAATTAAAAGAAAAAAACCACAATATTTAGACAAATGAAAAAAATTATCCTTTTTTAATACTGTATACATTTCAAACTAGGTAAATTTTTTATTCTTAAAAATACAAAAGTAAATACTGTATTTATTCAAATTAACCCCCCCCCCCAGGAAGTTTATTGTGGAGAAGGGTTTTTGAGGGGTGTATATTTGAGGGAAGCGTTACGTTTTTGTGTGTAATATGGATAGTATATACAGTACTCAAATAAATGCCCCTTAAATTATCTGTAAATGTGAACACCAACAAATAATTACCGTCAAAATATGCTATTAAGCGCTCCTAAAGACCTAACAATCCCAACCAGATTAGAAGTAGAATATTAATATGTGTTGAGAATGGTGTTGCTTCTATTAGTTTTGTTTAAAGTCATTTAGGGGGTATTTATTCAAGGAAAAAATGAAAACCTTGGAGGGGGAATTTATTCAAATTGAGGCCTTTATTTACATAAATACAGTAGGTTTATTTTAGTTTATAAAATTTACAATTTATTACATTTTGAAAAAAAAAAATTATGTCAAACTGTTTTACAGTCAACCTCACTTAAATTAAATACAAAAAAAAACCCTAATTAAAAGAATTTTTTTTTTTTTTTTTTGAGTTCATCAAAATCAGATCTAACAAAACACAAAGAGCATTAGTCCCTTTTCCCCCCATCTATGGGAGAGCAGAATGTTCCATTTTAAAGTAGGGAAAGTATATGCGACTTAAATGCTATGGAGCAAAAGTTAAGTGCTTGAGCTTTGCCTTTGTAAACAAACTTTAGTTTACTAAATGTTACTTGATGACATTGCACATTTTAGCAGCGGTGCAGTCTTTCAAAATTCAAGGGAATTGAAATTAGGAGAAGTAAAAAATCCTTATCCTAGTTATAAATGGAGAAACATTTCTGCCAGAAATAAACAGTTTTTTCAACAACTATGAGAATGTGGGGGAGGGTGCATTGCCTAAAAAAATAAGTGACTTGTCCCCCACTTTAACTTTGTGCATCCCATCAGCCCCACCCCCTTGATGTCAATACTTGCATTCCATATTTAGCTACAGCGTATGAGATTCATATCTTTCTTTATTGGTTATATTTTCTAATCACATATAAATAGTGAGCCAGTTACTGCACAGCGTATGAAATAAAATTTCTTAAAGCAAACAAAATTGTTGTACATCGTATACTGGCTCATTTCCCAAGGTCACAGAGAATGGGTTAACTACTGTTTTATCCAATGCAGGTCAAACTCACCATGTTTTCTGGCTAAATATCTTAAGATAGCATTCGACTGAGCACAGACCAAATCTCCATCATACAATACAGGCACCTGACGGAAAGGCTGCAAAAAAAGGGATTTTTATTTGAAAAAAAAACTGGGATTAATCATGACTACAATAAGTTAGAATTTAACCTAAAATATAGAACATGGGTATTGTTGCTAAGACAATACACAAAACGACAATGCAAAAAAGGTGTTTGTGGGAAAAAGCTGAAAATGCGCTATATAAATAAATATTATTACTACTACAAAGAGCATATTCATGGCCCTGTTCTGATTGCTTGTAGTATGATTGACAGTCAGTAAAGGTCGTATGAACCTACCAATGTCGCCTTTATTTTTGGGAAATCGGCATATGTTACCAATTCATCTTCAAAATCAACACCATTGTCAAGGAGAAGCAGACGAATGGGCTCAGCACGTCCTAAAAAAACGGAAAATAAAATTGGCTGTCATTACACCAGTTTTATCCAATCCATTTGTAAAGTAACATCAACTATGATAATGCTAGGTGCTCTAATAATAATAATAACAAAAGTCATAACAAAAATTTATTATTAAAGTTGTACTGTCTATATCATAAAAAGATAATTTTAAAGGTTAACTTGCTCATTTTGCAGTACAAATGATTGAATTTTAAAAATGTGTAGCCTGATTTTTATACTGTAAATGATATTGAAAATAAAAACACTTTCAGTTGCTGAAGTGTTTCTATCATATTTTGCTGTAAAAAAAACTTTTTAAAAGCACGTACCCTGGATTGGTAAGTAGGTCAACTTGTATCCCACTGAAAAATTGAGATTAAATTGCAAATTAATTTATGCATTATATAATAATAGGTCTAAACAAATGATTACTTCTTGAAATTGAGTCTAGAAAATTCAAATAAACAATTTACAGGGGTTCCAAATTGGAAGAAGTAAATTCCGGGAGTGGGGAGGTGGGGCCCCGTCTGGGAGAACATCCCTTTACCCCGGCCGTCAGGGACAAAAACCACAATTTGTCAGGGAGAAATTAATTATATATACTGTATTTTCTACATTTTCATAGATAAACTGTCAAACTTTTAAGGGCTTTGCCCCCTGGACCACTTCTGATATATTTTGAGCAACTCCCGACTATGCCCATTTTGCTTCCATTGAGATATCTACAGTGACAGATCCGAGAATTTGCAATAGGGGGAGCAGAGAGGGGCTTTACAGACGTAAATTTAAATATAAGATTTTCTTTTTCGCTTCATTTTTTAAAAATTTACACAAATTTTGGGGTGGAGCTTCCCTTTTGAATCCGACACTGATCTCGTTATGGGCTTTTATAACATTTAACAATATAACAAAAAAAAAAAAAAATAGGTGTATCTAAGCCCCAGGCTATTACAATACAATGAACATTGTAGACCCATGGGGCCTATATAAAACATACTAGGCCTAGGCCTTGCCAGATGAAGCTGGTGGTGGTGGTGGTGGTAGTAGTGTAGTCTAGCAAGGGAGATTATTTAAGTATTATATAGACCTAGATAGGCCTACCACTGAGTTAAGTCAGGGCACTCGAGGTTCGTTAGGCCAATCCAGTACGCCACCTCCCCTAAGACTTGCTTGCACATTGGAGGATGTTTGGGTACGAAAATTAGCAATGATGATTAGTGCATGCATATATGTCTAGATTCAGGAAACCTAACAGCTAATACGGATTAATATTTCTTACTTTTTGATTGCAGTGTCGCTAGTTAGAACCGTTAATCCGACAACCCCACCGATCCGAAAGAGAAAGAAACGTGCGTAATAAGAGACTGGGAATGGAAGAAAGAGAGATGGTCAGCCAATAAGCGTTGACTATTATATCAATCAGAGTGGACGATTTTCCAGTATGATTGGTCAGATCAGATCGGATGGCAAATATAGATAGGCCTAACTGATAAATCTCAATAGTTTCAAAGCAACATTAACATTCGCATTTAATGGAAAATATTTAGGCCAATCCAAAAAAATGAATATTATCTAGGAAATGCTAATTACAATAATAGGCCTGTAAGCATGGGCGTTGATCGTGGGGGGTACGGGACAGGGGACATGTCACCCCCACTTTTCAAAGTAGGGGGGGGGGACATCATATCGATTGTTCCCCCGCCCTCACTTTTCACCAATCTTCTATAATTAAAACCCCACTTTTAAAAGTGTATGGAAAGAATAACAATTACGCATGACTCATGATAAGTTTGCCTGCTCACTTTTCCAAGTGCGGTACGTATTTTCCGGACCAAAACTGAGTAAAAACGCAATTGTTTATACATTTCATAACCATCTCTGAAACACTAGATCGATTTCATGGGTGCAGCTGTTATCAGATGCTAAATTTATTGTGAAAAGAATGTACTTAACGTTGTTAAAATTGGAAGCGTGTATACTTATTAGGCCAATGTTTTTACAAACTCAAAATTGCACAATTTATACTATAAACGATTTACAGTATTCCTTTTGTATATTACGGTATTATGACCCGTACGTATATACTAGTGTTTAATATTATCTACATACATAGGATTACTGTTTTTCCTAATTTAAAAAAAAAAAAATTATAGTTAGTCAACTGAATTTAATATAGCCATTATTAAACAATAATCATACAGCCTTTGACACGGATATGTCTATCTATTTCGATTTAGTGATACCAAAATTTTACAAACTCCAGTGTTACGTTGACGCAATCTAGCAATGACGTCATAATAATCAGTGGCTAATTCAAGTGAGGCCGAGCCAACCCTAAATTTTTCAAAATTATTTTTTTTAAATAGAAAAAACCAAAAGCAAAATTATAATTAAAATTTAGGTCTGAGAGTGCCATTTCCGGCAACTAGAGGTGTCAAAATCATAAATTTTCTTTCCTCAGCCCCAACCATGGTGGGGTTCAGGTGGTCTACTTTCCCAAATTGTGCAAGTCCTTCCCTGCCCTCCCCCGTAAATTAATAATAATAATAATAATAATAATAACAATAATATAATAATAATAACAATAATAATAATAATAATTTTACGATAATTTGATTAATGAGATAATAATATTAATCAGCATATTAAATAAAATTACGTCCATGCAAAACCTACTTTTAAATAAAAATGTTATCTACTGTACTGTATTTGATTCTGTTTTAAAAAATAATCTTATAAATTATAAGTTTATTTTCTGTGATAATTTTATCCACACAGGCTAATTCATGTTTTCAATGTTAATATGGTTGATAAATAATATATATAAAATAATAATAATAATAAAGGTGCTCGAATAGTGCTTTAATAAAGAATTAATAATACTTCATACTTCAATAGGCCTATTTACGATAGTGTGATTAATGAGACATTTGTTGATTAATTTATAGAAATCTATAATAGGTATATACCATTAATAATCATTCAGCATATTAAATCAATTACATACTTCGTGACACCGGGGCAAATAGTTGATAGTAAATAACAGTACAATGAATATCCACATAATTGTTTTAGTGACCTGTCTCTAGTAATACATTAAAAATACAAATTATAATTCGGGACAAAAAATTATCTATACATGATGTACCCAACATCTA